TAGCTGTTAGGCATTATGTTTGGCTATTTGTAAGTTTATGTTTGATTTTTAGTTATCTGATGTATTGTTATGTGTATATGTCTATATTATGAGGATAAATAATGGTGGGTAATGTGTGCTGGTGTGAAATAGGTTGAGAAATATAAGGAGGGGGAAGTGGATGAGCAATCCGATGCAGTGGGCAGAGGCGGTGGGCTGGAGGAATTGGACAGCGTTGAATGTGTAAGAATAAAATAGATAGCTAAATAAAGTTTGACCAATTCTGATTTGATTTAATGATAAATGTGTATTATGAATCACAATACTTACAGTCCCCAACGCTGAATCAGTATGGGACTTGTATGTACGAAACGTTAGATGTATTTTTTTTTCTCAAAGTGAATGTCTAGATATTGGAATGTATTAGTTAAATGTTTGGGCAGCTTACTGGGTAAGGATGAAATGGTTATTAATAAGTAAAAGAGGACTATCATTTACAGGAACATGCAAAGTTAAACATTCAGCGGGAAGAAATGGTTGTCGTCAGTCCTAAAAATCAGAAACTGTTAAGTTCTGATATTGACTTGTACGCTGGGGTAGAGCAGCGTTTAGGGGAAGTACTTGATTGTTCAACGCCTGCGTTTGGACGGATGCAGGACGAAGCTGCAAGAGCTGAGGTAATATGGTCCATTTAAATATAAATATATTAGTTGAATTAGCATGTAGTAATGGTTTTTGTTGACAGGTTAGCGCCCAGGAAGGATCGCCAACTCATATAATTGCCTATGTCATTGGGAACCTGGATAAGGAAATGGTGGATGAACAGGTTAGTCATGGATATGCAGTGGTGGATGTGGGAAATGTTTAGTATAATTATGAAGTTAAATGTGGACAGGCACAGTTAGGGAATAATAGTGATTTGAAAGAGTTTAAGATTATTCCGGAGTCAAAAGGCGGGTTGAACAATGATGTATCTGGATTTTGCGCTGATGTATTAATAAGTTGGAACTGATAATATTTTTAAGTAGTTTATTCGTAAGTAAATGTTGAATGTGCATAAATTTGGCAGGGTGAAACTGCAGTTGAAAAACTAGAGGATGAGCGTGTGGGTGATGAAACCAACGGTGAACAAACAAAGGCGGCAGAGGTGAGGCGAAATTGTATTGTTACTTTAGAATTTGGAAATTTTATTTAGAGGAATCGCATTTTATAACTTAAAGAGTTTTACGACAGGTAGAAAAGTCTGATGCATGTTTTCAAAGAGAAGTCGATTTAACATTTGCTGAATGGAAAGACCCGAAGGTATGAAAATGTGGTGATATGGAGAAGGGTTTTTTTGAAATGTGTTGTTGTTACAGCTCTTTTTTCTGGTAATAGGATGGTGTGAAAGAGAAAGATGCGGAGCAAACACGTACAATAAACGAAAAAACGGATGTGGTAAGTGTCTATCATTTCAAGAAAGCAAGTCGCTTTCAAAATAAGTGGATATGTGCAAATGGATAACACAAAGTATAATGTCCATCGTAACAGGGTATAGTGGAAGAACCAGGTGAAAACGTACTTGTTAGTATTGAAAAGGAGATAGCGCAGTGTGAAGATACCGAAGGAGCTTTGCATGATATTGTGGTAATAAGTGGATAACATGTTATTTGTTGGGGTTGTTCCTAATTATAGTTTGTGTATCACCTCAGCATGTTAAATGAAAAATTTTGAATCGTGTTTGTTAGAAGTCTTCTGTGGTTAGCGATATATGGATACCGTAAGAAGACAATATTTTTCGTGTCCACCTATTCAGAAATACGGGATGAACTGGTGATACAGAAAGGGCTAGTGGTGCAATGGATAAGGCGAATTTAGAAGATCGCGAAAGCGAATCGGAAGATGGGAATGCAAAGGTGAGAAACATCAATACAATAGTCTGGTACTTTGATAAAAACTTGAGATTACTAAACATAACTAGCATTGTATCGCAGGGGGTCGCAGCAGGGTCACCGACCAATAGCGAGAGATCGTTCTTATCGCTGAGTGATTCATCTCCCCCACCACAAGCTCTGAAGTATAGCCCATCAGAGGGAGAGATGGAGCTAATTGGATTGTTAAGTAAGCGGTCGTTATATCCTGGTGATCTTTTACCAACATGTGATCCGGAGCACTATGAATTGTTTCTGAAAACACTGTCTGCGAACAAAAAATGGTTAGTTCAGTCAAGTGACTATCAACACCAGTATGGTTATGTGCTGCATTATTAAATGGTATGGCCGTTTACGTTGGCAGGGAACACGTGACCAATAGCGGATGCATGGTGGACAATTTGTTTTTTTTGGACTTGGCGGACCAACAGAAATGGATAGGAACTCATGTATGTGGATGGTTGCCATAGTTATTTAGGTAGTCATGTATGTGTATGTTTGTTCGGTGGTCATATATTTGTTGTGTGATGGCAGCATATGGAGTTTATGATGGCATTACTTGGAAATAGGCATGAGCGAGTTTTGGAAATTGAGCACGGTTGTTTTGCGTCCCCGTGGTTGATAAACCATATAGTTGGGAAATCAAGGTCATATCTGAAAGCGAAAGATCGGAAGAAGCATAGGTGGGATGTCCAAATTAAGAAAGCTGTACAGTTGCCCGGAAAACGATGGATGGAGGACGTGGACACCATCTATGTACCCATGTGTTGGAACAATGAGCACTGGGTCGGTCTGGCTATACACCTAAAACTGTGGTGCGTGGAGATTCTTGACCCGCTACCGTCACTTAACTGCGACCGGAAGGTGACACGATACATGGAGCCTGTGGTTGAATTCCTCCCACACATAATCCAACATCTTTGCCCACATGAATCCACATCCGCTTATGGGTTAAGCAAATTTAGATGGAATCGTGTGGGAGGTGATTACGAGAATGGCAGAGGTGGTGACTGTGGTCCAGTGACATTGAAGTTTATTGAAATTCATGCTAATGGAGGTCCCGATAGAGGAATGCTAACGGATGGGAAGGTGGACGCTATAAGACGGGAGTATGCTATGGATCTATACAAGGAGCTTATTGTTCTTTTGTATTCAGAGATGTAGTATTGTGAACTTAATGTATGTACTTGTAGGTACGTTAACGTTGTTTTTTATGTGTGAACATGTGTAATAAATGAAGTTAGTTGTTGATTATTGTATGCGGTAATTATGGTATATTGCATGATTTGGTAGGTAAATGAAAGCTTTTAATAGTATATAATAACGATATTGAGCGTGGATAGATGTTAGAAGAAATAAGTGGATATGAAAATACAGTGGTCTGATCTTTTGCTGGTTGATTATAGTAATAAAGATTATGATATGGACACGTTGTACTAGTTGACGTATGGACAGCATTAGTGGACAAGGAGAGTTAGTTTGTTTTTTTTTTTGATAATTTAAAGGAAATCGATGTTAGGGCAACAACTAGGATGGGGTATATATAAAGAAAGGTTCAGTTGTTAGTTGTGTCGTGGTAAACCAAAACGATAGAAAATGAACAGAAGGGGTAGAGGAGTGAGGGAACCTGCAGATGTAACTTACCCTGAACTTTCAGAGTATGTACAGCATCTGAAGATCGCGAATCCAGGTACATTAGCAGAGATAGAGACGTACAATGACGAATCAGGTTTGGTGCGTTTTAAGTATCTGTTTCTGTGTTTTGGAGCTAGTAGATTGGGCTTAGGTTGTGTTAGAAAGTGCTATGTGTTGGCTGGGGCTCGTTTGGGAGGAATGTATAAAGGTAGTATGTTAACTCTAGCCGGACAAGATGCTAACTTGCAAACATATCCAATAGCTTTCGCTATTGTGGACGGGCAAAATGAGGGAGCTTGGAATTGGTTTATGGTGCAAGTTAAGAGTATACTTGAAGACTCGCCGAATATGTGTTTTATCATGGATCTTAGTCGTGCAATTATGAAAGCGAAATGGAGTACATTCCCATTAGCGGCGGATGTTTTTTGCGAGCAAATGGTGGAGAATGATGTGAAAAGAAGATTCAAAGATAGGTATCTGACGGGTTTGGTTGAAAAGGCAGCGTATGCGTATCGCAAAGTAGCATACGCAAATGGGCTGTTAGAAATAAAGGATAGAAACATAGAGTGTTGGAATTTCCTGGAAAGGCTTGGGAAAGAGAAGTGGTGTCGAGCGAATTTTTCTGATGATCGGTACAACCTCAGGACAACACAGATGGTAGACCATATTAATGCAACTTTAATGGTGTGGAAAGATACTCAAATTCTTGAAACTGTGCGAAGGATAATGTCCCCCATGTGTGAATGGTTTGCTGATCGTCATCAATACGCGTGTCAACATGGGGGGGGGGGGTGTAACGCCTGCGGTGTTACGGCAAATGGCTAGGAATCTGGAGGCAGTTAGGGTGGCCAGTTCTAGAAAACTGGGGCCTAAAAATGTAGAGGTGGTTGATTTGTGTGGAGAAAAGAATATAGCCATGTTGGGCCACAGGAAATGTCAATGTGGTGAGTATGATAAGCTGAAAATACCTTGTGGACATGCTTTAGCGGGTGCAGCTCAATTGGGCGTTGATGTAGAAGAATTGGTTGGGCAATGCTACAAGACCTCAATGTGGAGACAAACATATGAAGGGCTCATCCACCAAGTCGCAGAAAATGTAAACTTGTATAGCGATGCATCCACTAAACTTCATCCACCGGTGGTGCGTGCGTCAATTGGCCGTCCACGTATGTCGAGGTAAACAGTGATTTATAAAGAATGGTATACTTTACTGTGTATGCGAGGTGATGTATATGTGAAGTAGTATTTGTTTTGACGTGCAGGTAAGAGTGTGCAAAAGGTGAGCGAGTTCAGAATGGAAGGAGCGATATGCGTATGAATGATTGTGGGTGTTGTAGTGCTGTTTTATATTATCGGGAGATGTCGATGTATTAGGAGTAATATTTGTGTTATGTTTAGAAAACTTTCCCAGATGACGATGTATTAGGAGTAAGTTTTATGTGTTTCATTGAAAGGTTGATGATGTCCACGAAAATGGATGATGTCCACGTTCAATTAAATCTTATGTTTGAGTTGAACGTTTCCCTGAAAGGTTGTTATTGTCCACGAGACGCGAAGGTGTCCACGTACTCGCAATTTTAAAGGCCTGTTGCTGTCCACAAATGTTATCCATTCATATTAAGTTTGGTGAAGAGTACCTGCTTTGTATCCATGAATATTAAGTGTTATTGAAGTTTGTAGTCATGGATTCCCGAAAATGTTACGGGAAAACGAAAGATGGGACCCATTCCCACGCAAAGCCTTATTAGGTTTTCCCACTGAATGAGATGTCTTTTTAAGTGGAAAAGAGTTTAGGTAATAGAAGAAAGAAGTCGGCAGAGCGTTAGATAGATAAGAGGTCGATGACCTATAGCTATAGCTGGAGTTCATCCGAAATGGCAAGCTTGCAGGGGATTGAAGATTTCCGGTTTGGTATACCGGATCTTTGCTACTGTGGGAATCCTGTTCGGTTGGAGACGTCATACTCGGAAGGTCAGGAAGGGAGTAAGTTTTATAGCTGCCGGCGTAGGGAGGTAAGCCTAAAGTTCTTTTATATGATATTGTCTGGTAATGGTTTGTAATTTTAAAGGATGGTCTTAGGAAGGAGGGTGTGATATTCGTAAATGGTGGGATGAAGCGATAGTTGAGGAAATCCGTCATCTTAAGGCCGAGTTTAACGAAGTGTCGAAGTCAGTGAAGTACTACTGTTCGGACGGTAATGGTACATACATTGACCCTCCTACTATGTGGAAAGATTTGGAGTCACTACGTGGACAGGTTACTGAATTATTGGAGTTGGTGCGTGTTGGCGGTCATGACTACCAAGTTTTGAAGGCCAACATTTCAGAACTGAAGGGAAGCCTCAACAGACACGGGACTGTCAAGGAGGACCGTTTGATTTTTTTTTATGTTTCTGATGGCATGTCTGGTAGTTGTAGTTGCTGTTTCGGTTCTCCTGCAGAGTAAGATCTGATTGGAGTAATATATGAAATTTCGTTTGTAGGGTTGTGTTGTAGTGAGCTTGTATGTTGTTTTGAACATTGGAGTTATGTGGAGTTATGTATCGGGGTGGCTCGACGCCGTTTTAGTTGTCTACAACGCGTTTCATTTAGAGTTGAGGACAACTGGTAGAACTTTTGTTTGTCAAAGGCGTATGTTTGAAGGCACTTTATGCAGTAATTTGATAAAGGTTTATGCAGCTTTATAATTATGTTTATAATTCTGGTAACTAGCAATCCTATATTTATTAAGTTTTTTGGATGTAAGAATCCCATTTGAGCTGTCCAGTTCTCGCAATGCAACGCTACAAAGGAGTTTTGGTATTCTATTCCTTACTGTAATGCATTAATTGCGTGGACAGATGCTGATGGACAGTGTGAGTAGTGGTTATTTACCGAGTTTATCCACTTATGATGACCATTTGTATTGGTTATATATGTTGGAACGGCGAGGAGCATGAGCGAAATAGAATCCACATATAACCAGAAACTAAAACTTGTTCGACGAGTGTATCCATATATTGATGACCATTATGTTATGTTTAACTATGGGGGAGCTGGGAAGGGGCATCCATGAAATATGAAACCCCCAAACGAGTATATTGACATGTAGATGGCGAAAGTATAAATCTAATATTAGTTGGTCCAGAAAGGTGCATCCATGATATAGTATCCACCATGCTGTTGTCCAGTCATTCCGTAAATGACCATCACGCGTGTGAGCATTACACTTTTATTTAAAAGGGAGGTGGTGACTTTGCTGTATTTTTAAGGAACCTTAATACTTGGCCGCCTTAGGTAGTTGTGGACTTTTTTTGCCGGTTCTTCCCACTTGTTTGTTTGAAATGAGCAATACATCTGTTGGTTCTACTGGGACAACGTTGGGTCGTGACAGAGGAGGAATTGTGGGCATTCCTAGAAAATGTTGGTGTGGGCAAGGGATTGTGGCTAAGATATCTAAATCGGAAAAGAATCCGAACCGTAGGTATTTCCGGTGTGTGTTTGTAGTAAAACAAAAGGTATGTGGTTGGGGATATGTTTCCCATCCGGTTTGAATATGAAGTTCCTACTATATTGTTAGTAAATTTTTTGCCATAATTTGTAGTTAATGAATGATAATCACACTTTCGCGTGGAGTGATGAGGCTTTGGCGAATGAGTGTGAGGCTTTGGCTGCTAGAACGGACGTGTTATTGAACGAGATATCGGTAAGATAACAAGTTTGTCAAAGGAAAAAGCTGATGAAATTGTGCAGGAGCTCGGATTAAAGATGGAGGAAGTTATTTGTGAAAGAATAGATAAATTGGTGGTCGAAAAACAGAGCTGAGGAAAGTGATTATGCGCACAATTGTTGCTTGTATTTTTATCGTAGTTTGTAGCAAGCTAATGGTAATATGTAAACTTTTTGTTGTAGTTTGAATCCGAAGAACGTGTATTTGTTATAAAATTAGTATCATTATATCAAATTAGATCAAAATTTCGTTTGTAGCGTTGTGTTATGGAGTAATTTATGAAGTTTTGTTTGTAGAGTTGTGTCGTAGTGAGCTTGTATGTTGTTTTGAACATTGGTAACGAGTAGTCGAGGTGGAATTATCTATCTGGCTGGATGAACACATTTGAGTTGTCCAGTAGTCGTTGTTTGGGGATGAACTGTGTCCACTGCTACTCATCGACAATGTATAATGGGTATCCACCGACATGTGTCCATCGAGAAGATGATCTACGAAGCACAGTGGATGGGTATTAGAAGGACATACGTATTTAGAAAGTGTTTGTAGCGTTGTGTTATGGAGTAATTTATGAAGTTTTGTTTGTAGTGTTGTGTCGTAGTGAGCTTGTATGTTGTTTTGAACATTGGTAACGAGTAGTATCGGTGGAATTATCTATCTGGCTGGATCAACACATTTGAGTTGTCCAGTACTCGTTGTTTGTGGATGAACTGTGTCCACTGGTACTGTTCGACAATGTATAATTGATATCCACCGATATGTGTCTATCGAGAAGATGATCTACCAAACACAAGTGGATGGATATTAGAAGGACATACGTATTTAGAAAGCAAGTGGACGGCGTAATATATGTTATCCACGAAGAACAATAAGCTGTGTATAGATGTAATACGTGTGGCCAAACCGAACCTTGAATTGCTTGAAAAGCAATTGTAAAGTAACAATACAAAAGCATGCATATTACCATTAGATTGTTTTATAATGGTAACCCCAAAAAATGGTAAACATCATTGAAAGAGACAGAATTTAGCTCGACACCCAAAAAGAAATATAAGTGGAGCATTACAAAAGATGTGAACTGGTCACATGTTAGAGAACTAAGGTTAAATGGGGTTGTTGCATTTTTTCCTGTTGTGACCAGGAAGTCCACATCGGCCACATTTGTTTGGGATTGTTTTTTGACACGAGGACCCTGAAAAGAAGGGAAGATGAGTTAATATGGGTTCTGATGTTAGAAAGATGAAAAGGATAGGGAAATGCTTACACGGATTTCTCCTGTAGAAGTATAACGAGCCTGTTTGGGACGACCGGATGGCCGTCGTGTTTTCGGTGGTAGCAAAACGATGGAGCTAATCTCCTGGGGTATGTCGACGTCCTTGGGGTCTCCTTCAGGCGATATTATAGCTTGATAAGTGTCACACCATGTCTTTGTTTTGAAACAATCAGCCACAAGCGATCCATAAGGGAGACCGACACAGTCAGCAGCCATTAGGGCGTGGCCACAAGGAATCTTCAATCGTTCGTACAGCATGCAGGTGCATTTGTGGTCTTTGAGTAAAACGTTGTTTTTTTCTCCAAACTGGCCTATTATTTCCAAACTCCAGCTAGAAATGGTGTTGATTTTGCTGCCCTTGGCCTTTTTGAGATTGGAGGTTATTTCTTTATCCATTTCTGGAGTAATAATGCCCTTATGGCGTTGGGATTTTTTCCGGCGAGCACTGAACCAACGCGTCATCATGGATTGAATGAACTGCAAGAGTTCCAAAATGGGGGAGCTTCTTCCTTCGCGCAAAGATTTGTTAAGCTGCTCACAAGCGTTGCTTGTCATTAGGTTATATCTATCTCCTTTAAAATGAGCTTTTGCCCATGTGGCAATACCGATATCGTGGAGGTATTTAGCACAGGCTGGATTTGTAGAACTGATTTGCGCAAAGATAGCACGAAATCTTTTTACCCGGTAAGCAAAAGCAGCCATACCAACCAATTTAGATAGACCCTTGTTCTTGAACCTTGACGTAACATTCCTTTGCAAATGAACAACACATGCACCGTGATGTGCTCGGGGATATACATGTTTAACCGCCGTTAGGATCGACCGATGCCGGTCTGAAATTATAGAAAGGTTTGTACTGTCAGCCAATATGCGTTCCAATTTTGTTAAGAACCATTTCCACGAATCATCGTTTTCGGAATCCACAATTCCAAAAGCCAGTGGATACACTTGGAAGTTAGCATCCTGTCCACATGCTGTTAACAAGACTCCCTTAAATTTCCCAGTCAGATGGGTTCCATCCAACACAATAATATGCCTCAGCCTGCGGAAACCAAGGATTGAAGCAGCGAAAGATAAGAAAACGTACTTAAACCTAAGTAAGTCTAGTTCGTCAGTTTCTGTCTCCAAGTCAGCCACAGAACCTGGATTTGCAAGTTTGAGCATGTACAAATACTCTGGTAACTTGCTGTAGGAATCATCATCAGAACCTCGGAGACCATTGACAGCCGTTTCTTTTGCTCTGTAACATTTCATGTAAGAAGTATTAACTCGAAGATCTTCAAGGACGAGTTTTTGCAAATCCCTGGCCCTTGGACCATTGACCGGATCGCCAAATTGGGCTTTATAGACAGCTGCAATTACTCAAGCGGATACTTTTGACGCAAAAGCCTGTCGGTTCTCTATGCCACAGGAGTGTTGAAGATGTGCTTCAGTAATTTGGTAATAGCCGCAGTCCTGTAGTTCCTTAGCGCGAACTCTCCACTCACAAGGTTTGCCGGTACAAGTAAGCACAAAATAGTTCCATTTGGTAGTAGTTTGTTTGAAATGGAACATTTCTTTGATGGCATATATAGCGAGAGCAGTTTGGCAATCTTCCTTAGATCCAAAAATCTTACCAACCCTGATGGTAGCTTCGCCTTCGTCAAAACTATCTAAATCCGGAATATCTGAACAGTCGTACAAAGTGTCATCAAACAGAGGTGGTATGTCGAACTCTTCGTCATCAAGACTTTCAAGGCGCTGACGAGACGGTACACCGGGTCTGTCTAGCAAATCGAATCCTGGTGGATTGTGTAATGTGTTCATTGAGGCAGGTGCATTTGAAAAGAGTGTACCAGAATTCCCGCCCGGGGCTGACGCGGAGCATGAATTGTTTAAAGAGGCTGGCAATCCATTCGGAGGATCAGACATTAACTCAGCTGCATCTGAACCTCCAAACTGGTCAGCAAGCAAAGGAGCCCAGAACTCTTTGTCATACTGCCGGGGAACCCCGAGAAGCTCTTCTTCTAGGTCAATATCTAAATCCCCATTGCTGCAATCGTCAGAGACAGATAGTTGAGAGTCGCCGCTTGTCGAAGTAGAGGTCCCTTTTGAACTACCACTCTTAAAAATCTCCTCTAATTGCTCCGCGTGAGTGATTAAATCTTCATCGTCGTCGATAAGCTGATAGTGTGTAGTGGAACTACCGCTTTCAAAAAGGCGTACACCGGGGTCGGAAACAGAAACGGGCTGAAATGATTTGCGCTTGAGAGGAAGCAGTGGAGTAGTGAAGCATTGGTCATCCTGTTCTGGTGGGACAAACGATGGACATGGACACTCAAAGTGGACAAACATGTTCATAGCTGAACTGACGCGGGAATGTTTGATATAGTAAGATATTGCACTCTCGGTTAAGATGAGAACCGGCGGTGTGGTAATTCCAGTCACTAATTCCTTAGTATTAGGAGGCCAGTAAGATAATGTAGCTTTCTTTCCAGCGTTCCCTTCAGGGAAGAACTCACGTTCAACGATTTCTGTAAGCTCAACAATATTAATGCCTTCTTGAAATGACACCATTCTCGACATCAAGTTTTTGTCAATAAGGAATTCCCACTTCTTGGCAGTGGTGAAAACCCATTCACCAGCAATAACAAGGCAGTGCTCTCCCATGGAAACCCAGAAAGAAGGAGTTTGAATATAAAATATTGTCCACTACAGTAATGTCCACCGATTTGGGAAGAACAAGAAAAAGAGGTTACCTCTCCAACCATCCGTGACCGTCGCTTGTCTGAACAATGGGGAACAGCAGATCCTGATTTACCCTAATCTACAGCTGTAATCGTTTCCATGTAAATCTGACTTCTGATATCTACCACAGGGACACTTGTCAAGCTCTCGTTCTTTAGATAGAGAACATTTACTGCATATTGAACGGTTCAGATATAGTAAAATTTGTGTGGGACCAATCATTTGTAGTATGGTCGTCTGCTTTATCTTATTCACATGTGAAGGCATCCACCTACGGTCGTCCACGTTACTTTATCCAATATGTCGAGTATGGTAGGCGACGTGTCTTGTGCACTCCAGGAATTACATATTTGGTCATCCAGATTGGGTCTACTTTGTCTTATCCGCATGTAAAAGGTATCCACCTGTGGTCGTCGACTTTGACTTATCCATTATCTCGAATATTGAAAAACGCCGAGTGCTGTACATCTCACAAATTACATTTGCATATAAAAATGTAAATCTCACAAACTCTGATATCTACCACGGGGGCCACTTGTCAAGCACTCGTTCTTTAGATAGAAAACGGTCGTCCACGTTATGGTCGTCTGCTTTATCTTATTCACGAGTAAAGGCATCCACCTACGGTCGTCCACGTTACTTTATATATTATGTCGAGTATGGTAGGCGACGTGTGTTGTGCATTCCAGAGATTATCCATATTTAAACGGTATCCACCTATGGTCGTCCATTTTATCTTATCCATCATGTCGAATATTGAAAACGACGGGTGCTGTACATCTCACAAATTATATTTGCAAAAAAATATGTATTCTGAAGGATATTAGACGTGATTTTAGTGTACGGGTTATGTGGATATAGAGAACGAGTTATGGATATAGATACGGCAGGGATGTCGTTCACCAAATCTGGACTTCTCGAAATCAGGCAAGAACGTGTTATGGATATAGATACGGCAGGGATGTCGTTCACCAAATCTGGACTTCTCGAAATCAGGCCAGAACCTTGTTCCCGACGAAGAAGTTTGCGAAGTTTGCAAAAAAAATGGGAGGTGTTCGGGATTAAGCGGGATCTGCCTTTCCGAGCCAGCAATTTGGGAAGTTTCCGTTTAACCAGAATTAAAACATATAAGAGAGCATCAGATAAAATTGGAGAAGAATTTGATGAGGCAGATCCGAACGGTGAGAGAAGAATATGGCCAGGGGTCCGGCTATGCCGGAAAAATGTTTAACGGTGTTTAAAGATTCTTCCGACGAAACTAGAGAAGAGGAGACACTCGGTAAAGAATTATCGAGCTCGTTTTACTGAGGGGCAAAAATGTCCTAAAAATTTTTGAAAACTCATAAAAGTCACCTAATAGCAAGAAGTGCCTTTGGCCGTAATATGAGTTGTAAAAAGTGTCTTTGAATGTAAATATCTCGACAAAATATTATGATTAAAAATACCCGAAAATTAAAACAATATATAGGAGCGAGAGAGAGAGTTTCCAAATTTCTATCAAGCTCAACAATATAAGGGGTTTACTATTTTAGGGTTTTTAGAGTCTCAAAGCTTTTGTACGATACAAGCACCAATCTAGCCTATGACGCCGGTCTACGTTCCTCTCGATCTCCAGATCAACACACTCTTAAGACTGCCTGTGAAGTCTCTATTGAGATTTCGATGCGTCTCCAAGCTTTGGTCATCAATCATCACTAGCCGAGATTTCAGGAACCAGCACTTGAAGATTGGTGCTTCCTCAGCTCCTCCTCGTCTACTCATTGCTTTTGTGGAACCTTACGGAGAAAAGGTTCTGGTAGTCTCGTCGCCTAACCCAAACGCACCTTCCTTCTCCTCTTGTTCCTACAGAGATCTGAGCCTAGTCAAAAACATTAAAGGGAATATGATGTATAATGCTTGTCGGGGCTTGATCTGCGTTGGAACCGGTTTCAAAGATGTGGGGATTTATAACCACAGCACAAGGCAGCTACATACTTTCCCCCAATTCAAATTCAAAAAAGGTCCAGAAGTGTTCCCACGCCCCAATTACATGTTAGGGTATGATCCTGTTGAAGATCAATACAAAGTGCTTGCCGTTGATGCTTTTTCTGATCAGAGATTGGAGCACAAGGTTGTGACATTGGGAGGAGAAGAAGCTTGGAGAGAGGCTCCATGTGTCGCCTGTCCTCACATTGTTTCTACACGGGGGTTATATATGAACGGAACCCTGTACTACGAGGCCTCGAGGAAATACTTGGATTACCAGAATACTATCTATATAATTGTGAGTTTTGATGTTATGCTTGAAACGTTCAACATCATCAAAGTACCAAGCAAAGTTTTAACATTGGGTATGTGGTTTCCTTATCCTTGGGTTGATACAAGTGAAAGTGATAACGACACGGATAAAACTCTGATCAACTACAGAGGAAAAATTGGAGTGGTTGAGAATCCTCGTCTCAAGGGTAGTTTTAGAATGTGGGTTGTGGAAGATGCTGAGAAAGAGGAATGGTCCATGAGCACTTTTCATCTCCCTGAATCTGCTGCTGCTGGCCTTGACTTCCTGGTCATGGATACCTTTTCTAACGGTGAGATTTGTCTGGTTCCAAAAGAGTTGTCTGATCCGTTTTGTTTGTACTATTACAATTTGGAGAAGAAAAGCATGAGAAGTGTCAGAATTGAAGGACTGCCTGTTTCCGAGTTTAAGCGAGCCGAAAGACTTTCTTTGACTATTTCAGATCATTATGAGAGCCTCATGTTTTCAGAAACCTGAAGTTAATTTTGGGTTTTTTTTTGTTTTTTATTTCTTTATAGATTTATACTTATTTTATTACAGAAACAGAACTTTGTTTTGATAAGCACCAATATTCATGTTTGGAACTTATACTGTATTTTCCAGGGATTTTTTGGCAAATTCTTATGACGAATATTCTTGTTTATGGTGTTTTGAGAAGCACCACAGTTTATATATATGTTGGCCTATTAACTAGTGATTTTTATTTTTAAAATTACTAAATTTGGGTCAAGCTTGTCATATGTGCACCTGAATCAAAGATATCTACCATTGCCCTATGATTCAAACATTCCAGCTTAAAATCATTTTATGTCTATCACATCCTTTTGACTCTCCTGAAAATGTCACAAAAAAGTAATATTGAACGAAGTAAAAACTGCAAAGAGAGTCACGATATTAATGGCCAGTTGGTCACAATGGTTTGCCAGTAATTAATCTGGATGGCTCAAACAATCGAGTATATCCGATCCCGATATACAATTGTGTTTCAAGGTTAAAATGATTTTGTATAAAAAAAATGATTTTATATCCTTTCATGGTTTGAAGATTAAATATTTTCAACTAGTGAATTTTCTCGTGCAAAGTGCTGATATAATTTTGAATTTGATTTTGAAAATCTAATATTTGTTTGAATGCATTTGTTTTTTTATCTTCTATTGTTGAATATATTTGTTTGTTAGATTTTTTTTGCAATTTAATGTTTGAAGATATGATCGGAGAAACAGTGTAGAAAAGAATAGCTAAAAACATATTAGTATCTTGACGTTGGGCTTTGTTTGTTTTTATTTTTAATTTTTGAATTTTGAGGATACATAAGGCAAAACATTATGATTATCTGAAAGAGATTTGTTGAAGGTGTTTTAATATCTGGTCAATTGGGAAAGTAGAAGCCAACATTGTGATTATGTTGACTTAGAGTCTTAGAGTAATACCGGGTTAGTCAATTAATTCCGGTTATGATAATTGGGTAGCTCTGGTTATTTCTGGTTTGTATTAAATCAATCCCTAATCTATTGCAGTCGAAGTTTAAAGTAATTTAAGTACTCAAGGATTATAAGAATGACTCTCTTATTAAGCTTTAGAAAACTCTTTCAAAAACTAAAGCACTCAAATTCAACATCTCTGCATCTCCTTATATAGAGGATAAAACCTTTTCCTAATAGAATTATGAATTTCTTTTTTTTAGATAACTCCTAAGTATGTTTAGATAACTCCTAAACATATTTCCTAATCCTAATAGAAAATACTAACTTCTAGAATGTTAATTTCAAGTTTAAGTCAACATTCTCCCCTTTAAGTTTGACACCACCTATCTCCAAGTTTTGAATTCCAATAAGCTCCCTCATTTCTTTAAACTTGATTCTTCCAAGGGCTTTTGTTAAGATGTCAGCTCTTTGTTCACTTCCTGGAACATGCTCCACTTCTACCTGACCATTCTTCACACACTCTCTTATAAAATGATATCTTCTATGTATGTGTTTGCTCCTTCCATGAAAAACTGGATTTTTGGTGAGGACAATTGCAGATTGGTTGTCAATTCGTATGACTACTCTTTCATGCGCAGCTCCGGTGATTTCATCTAGTAGATCTTGAAGCCAAATCCCTTGTTTTGCCACTTCAGTACCAGCCATGAACTCTGCTTCACATGATGATAATGCTACTGTATCTTGTTTTTGTGAGCACCAAAAAATTAAGCTTTCGCCAAAGTAGAAAACATGCCCTCCAGTGCTCTTTCCATCATCTAGATCGACATTACGGCTGCTATCGCTGTATCCTATTAACCTTGGTATCCTTTGGCCTGATCGCTTAAAGACTAGACCGAAGTTAATAGTACCTCGCAAGTATCTTAAACAATGCTTCATAGCTACTCCATGTGGTTCTCTCGGACTCTGCATGTAACGACTCAATACTCCTACAACATAAGACAAGTCTGGTCTTGTGTGGAGTAAATACCGGTGACACCCTACATTCTTTCGGTAAGTAGTAGCATCATTCTCTTTCTGTGCTCCTGACTTTGCAATCCTGCTTCCCACTACAAGAAAAACATCATTTTACGACGACCAAAATGGTCGTTATTTCGTCGTAATAAGGCTATTACGACGAACTACCAACGATTACGAAATCGTCGTAAAGTCATCGTCGTAATAGACAAATCGTCGTAAAATCGTCGTATAATATACGACGGTTTCGTTTCGTCGTAACATCGAGGGAAACAAAATCGTCGTAAATGCGTCGTACAGTTTACGACGATTTTACATCGAATTGCGTCGACTTGGTCTTCGCCTGGACCGTCGTTAAGTGGTCGTTAATGGTCGACGTAAGATCGTCGTAAAATGTACGACGCAAAAATCGTCGTAAATCAATCGTAAAGTATTTAATCATTTCGTTGTAAAATCGTCGTAAAGCACGGACGTATAATCGTCGTATTTGTGGTCGTACATTTTGGTCGTAAATTCGTCGTAATATTTACGACGAATGTACGACGGTTTTCAATAAAGATATTACGACGATTATACGACGTTTAATATAATTGAAAATTAAAAAAAAATTAATTCGAATTAAAATTTAAATTAAAAAAATAATTTACAATTTAAAATTTATTAAAATTTCAAATTAAAATTTCAAATTAAAATTAATTTTAATTTACAAAAAAACCCTACAGCTCTAAATCTAAATCTATATCTATATCGTCGATCCCGTCACCGGCCTGCTCCCCATCGTCCTAGACGTGTTCCTTGCCGGGTCTTCGGTTTGATGCTTCCGCCGGCGCCTGATCTCCGGCTCTAGGAGGCTCAACCCCGAGAGATCGGAACATCTCCTCGTCCGTCTGCACCGGCGTTTACGTCCTAGTGGATGACCCGGCGGCAGACGATCCGACAATCCCATCAGCCCGCAGCTTGTCCAACTGCGCCATGAGCACCGGGTTGTCGGCTCCCATGATCTCGAAGAGACTGTAGAGCAGGTCGATCCTCGTCTCGTAACGGGTCCGCATCTGATCGATCTCCTGGCGGATAACCGGATCCGGGACCCGGACGTGACCAGTCGCCGTAGCTCTCGGGGTATCACGGATGGACCCCATCCCTAATACCCACCCCTTTTTCTTTGGGGCAACCTAAAAGTATTTAAAAACATTATGGTTAGAAATTCAATTTAAAACTAAAGTTACATTAATTAAATATAGTAATTAAATTTACCTTTTCGAAAATCTGGTCCATCTCCGCCACCGTCAGCGCGGGGGTCGATTGGACCGAGCTACCTCCGGGAGACGTTTGACGCGCCTGCTGAGTCAGCTGCGTCTGTCGCTCCTCGATCGCCGCACAAGTGGCGTTGTAGATCTCCTCCGCTCGAGGATCCATGAATTCGCTGTTCTGCTTCTTATGCGTCTTGGTGAAAACCTTTGTCATCGGAGGAAGTTCTCCTCCGTTATCTTCGACCTACAAAATCAAAATGAAAAAATTAGTAATTTTAATTTACTTACCATCATAAGCCGTCTTCCGGCAAAAGGAATCTGACCGGAAGTGTGCGGAACGTTCTTCCGATTTCCCGCATCGTCAGTAGCGTTCCTGAAAAATATTTTCATTAGAATATATTATAAGAATTAATGAAAACAAATAATGTAAATATTAATGGAATTAACTACTTACCTAGATCCGGAACACTTGGCGGGCGTAGTCTGGTTGTGCGGATCCAACCAGTACTAGACAAGGCCCCGCCAGACGGAATTGGCCATAGGCGCCAGCTTGGCCTTGTTGCCGTCAACCTCCCACTTCTGTTTCCAGTCGGAAACGGTGTTGTTGAGGCGGAATTTGACCTTCTCCTTGAAAGCCGTCTCCACACGTCCGTGTGCGGATGTTTCCCAATGCCAGTTTTGCTAGGAAAAAAAAAGTTAGTAATTATTGTAAAAAGTTAAAATTAAAAATTAAAATTAAACGAAATTGTAAATTACTTACCGAAAAACACTTGAACCAAGTGTCAAGTGTGGCCTGATCCAGCTTCTTCCAGCTGGTATGGGGTTGTACGAAAAACCCCTTGATGATATCCGCAACGACCGACTGCATTGTCGGTCGTAAACCTAGTCAAATAGAAAGAGAAAAGTAAATTAATTTCAAATATATAAGAATAAAAATTAATTATTTTAAAAATATTGTAGGAAAAAATTTACGTACCAAAATGTTCCCGGGGCTCGATCCGGGTCGAGTTTGTTCATGGTCTCACGACCCGGCTGTGCCAGAAGATCCTGTACCGTAAACTGGGCATACGGTACAGGCGGGATCGGATCAGCTTCAGGATCGGTCGGTGCGGGAGCCGCTGGTTCGGCTGGTGGTGGTGGAGGCGGTGCCGGCTGCGGTACAACGACCGGTTGGGAAACCATCCGTTGTGTTCCCGAGGACTCCGGGATGGCTGATCCGGTCGTCGAGGTAGACGGGGCCGTATCGTCAGAATCGACCAGCTGTCGGTAGTGAAACCTCTTAGCCCGAGGAGCCATATCAACAGAATCTACAAAATTTAAAAAATTTTGTTACTAATTTTTCAAATATTTATTTAAATTTACAAAATCCGAGCCTATCTAAATTCCGAAACCTAAATCTAAATTCCGAACCTAAATCTAAATTCCGAACCTAAATCTAAAAGAATATGTAATAAAATTATTTTAAAACAAAAAACTTACAAGTATTTGGCTAGGAAGAGGTTTAGGAGATTAGGGAGGTAGAGAGAGAAAGTTTATTAGAGAGAGAAGGGAGAAGAGAGGAATGAGCGACGAAATGGGGAAAACTCGCGTCCCTTATATAGATTTTGTGATCGTCGTAAATTCGTCGTAACTTTACGACAATTTTACGACGACGAATTTACGACGATTTGGTTGTATTTCAGTCGGTCCACTGCATGACATGACACGTGTCATGATAAGAGCGTTTGACCGTTACGACGGTTTTACGACGATTGTACCATAAACCGTCGTAAACTCGTCGTAACGGCTA